AGAAACATTATTTTCAAAAGTTTTGTTCCTCAGGGCAGAGAATCGCTTTTTAATTTGTTTTTGCAAATCCCGCCAGATAACTTTCATGGCAAGATCGCGTGATCTTTGATATTGTCTCCTACGGACATTTTTAAGACGGATCAAGAGCTGAGGATCGTCGTCTATTATAATTGAATCGAATTTAACCTCGCATTTTGGTACTGAGGCAGCTCTTGCTTCAACTATAGAAGTAGTCAGAGATTCAAGAGCATAATTAATTTCATCTTTGGTTTGCAAAGGAATGTTTGGATCGAAGTTATATTCCATAAATGTTCGATATTGCTCCCAATCAGCTCTATGGTAATTGAAAGTAGAGCTGTTGGGATTACAAATTATTTTTTGGGATATTTCAAAAGTTACTGGAAGGTGATCAGAACCGAAGTCAGCATGGGTAACCAATTGGCTACAAAGTTGACATGAATCAGTTAAGACCAAATCAATAGTGGAGGGATTTCTTGCAGAAGAAAAGCATGTTGGGCTGTTTGGATATTGAATAGTGTAATAACCTGCAGAACAATCATCAAACAGAATATTACCATTGGAATTGCTTAGAGCATTATTCCATGAGCGGTGTTTTGCATTAAAATCACCAATAATGAAGAATTTAGACCTATGACGGGTAAGTTTCTGGAGGTCACCCTTGAGAATATTCTTTTGCTGGCCTACGCATTGGAATGGCAAATAGGCAGCTATAAACGTAAGTTGTCCAAATTTTGTTTCAACAGAAACTCCCAAAGTTTCAAAAACTTTGGTTTCAAATGAAGAAAGAATTCTATGTTTGATTCGTCTATGAACAATGATGGCAACGCCACCACAGGGTCCATCAAGACGATCATTTCTATAAATGAAATAAGGTTTAAGGAACATTTCAGTTATAACGGCAATATGCACGTTATGAACTCTCAAAATGGAGATCGAGCATTCCAATTTATAATATTTAATGCTTTAAAATCCATTACTGAATTTCAAAGTCATGAAAATACTGTTTGCAAATTTTACTGCATCAAACATGGAGTTAGATTTAAGCATATCAGAAATCATGTCAATTAATGATTTCTGTAAAAATTCCATTTTAGGGGCAGTTGCTTCCTAGGTCAAAATTTTCAAAATTTCCGTTAGAATAACGTTGGTTAGTATTTTGATTTCTACCCGTTGCAATAGCAGCATAGGTAGCTCCATTAACTCGCTGAACATTGTTAGCAGCGAGAGGAGTAGGTACAGATGAAATTTTTTAAGCAGGGGTGATATTTGTACCTACGGGTACGAATGTAGAATTTGTTCCTCGCTGACCGTTGTTAACAGCAGAGGAATTTGTACCTGATCGGAAACGTGGATCGTTTCCTACCTGTCGCTTAGAACGAGATGGTAGGATCGCGTTGTGAGTCTTACATTCCCAAAAATTGGATTTGTGGTTTTCACCACAATTTGAACATTTAAATTTCTTAGGATCTTCCTTCACAGGACAGTCGTCCTTTGCGTGAGAGGAATCACCACAATTCATGCATTTAGCTGGCATGTAGCAATTTTTAGTTCCGTGACCCCATCCCTGGCACTTACGGCACTGAGTGAGGTTTTGGAAATTTCCTCCAGTCTTCCTGAAGAGTTCCCACTTCACTCGGACATGGAGCATAAGGCTAGCTTTTTCTAAGGCCTTAAGGTTGTTTAGTTCACTAGACTTGAAGTGAACTAAATAAAAATCATTAGAAATCCCGTTGCGCGAATCGCCAGGACGGGATTTCATTTTCATTTTGATTACTTGGAGTGGCACGACTCCAAGTAATTTTGCCAGTTCATCTTTGATCTGATCCAGGGATTCACCACTGGGCAGTCCTTTCATGACAACCTTGAACACACGTTCAGTTTTGGTGTCGTAAGTAAAAAATTTGTGCTTCTTCTCAGTAAGATACTTGAGAAGACATTTAAATCCGTCCAAGGTTTCAGCCAATACACGGCATTCACCCCGACGTCCAATTTGTAGAGAAAACTTAACTTTCACGAAGTTCAAAAGTTCCATGCGAAGAGCATGGAAATCGGAAGTGGTTATCACAATAGGAGGAATTTTTTCCTTCTTGGCATTAAGCCGGGAAAGTTTACTAGAATTTTTCTTGGATGATGGATCATTCTCATCATCCGTGAGCAAATCAAATTGATTACTCAAATTAATTTCTTCAGAAGGGGGGTCAAGAGTTTGCCCCTTTCTTTTGCGTTTAGGCGCCATGGCGGCAGTAAATTTTTATCCAAATCGACTTCCAAGCAGATTACTATAAGAATCTGAAGGATCGAAGAGGAATTTTCCAAATCGATATCCAAGAAGGATTACCTCGGGTAGGGTCCAAAAAAGGATCGAAGAGGAATAAGAGTTGAACAAGGTAGAAAAATTTTACAGGTTGAGCACTGAAAAGTGCTGTTTAAATTTGTTGTACTTTAGGTAGTAGTAACACTTCCTTCAGCAAAAAGCAAATAGATCCGCACGGCAAGAGAGCACGATGCGGACATACATACTAAAGTGATTTCATCAATTATATCTTGTCAGTATAATGTGATTCAACCACCGGCAAACCGACATGAATGACCATAGCAAAAACAATACAATTTCTGACCAAAGCACACTACAGACATCTGGCTCCTTGTTCGCGGGAAATATTTAGCTAAACCATGAACCCCCATGCAAAAGTTATGAATTGGTTCGTGTCTGATGTATTCTGGACAAATTATTTTTATCTAGATCAAAAAATCCTGTAGATTTGACAGTTCGGATCACTGCACATTTAAATCGGCCGTTAACGATTTTTGGGCATTAGTCGATGTTTTACCAAACGCTATTCCGGGAATCATGAAACCAGATTCCGGGACATCTGAATCCGATGTCAATACGATTTATGTCAACAGATACATTTAAAATTTAGTTCATTGACCTCATCTACTCCTTTGGTTTTGTTTTTTCCGTCGATCTTGTTTTCCGTGCTGAGCACCAATACTACCGACGTGCCAGGAAGGCAGCTCCCACACCTGGACCCTACCTATCGACCCATCAACTCATGAACCGGGGACCAACGGCTTTACTTCCCATCCGAAGGAAGGCGTGATCAGAGATGTTATGCCTCAGAACATCCCGGCGGCGCCGACTGGGATTGAACCCAGGCCTGCTGGGGTGAGAGGTAATCACGCTTACCACTACACCACCGGCGCCGTTTTCCTCATCTACTCATTTTGATAAGATTTTATGTTCTGCATTATATGGTTTACTCGAATATAATTATATATTTTACCGCACCGGGTTCTGGAATTCGCGGAACCAGATTCTTAAATACCCGGACCCGATTCCAAAGTGACCAAATGTCAAAAGAATTATCTTTGAAGAATTGCTATTTAATTTGGAACCTAATTCGTTTGCCTCGAATATTCTTATCGCCTATTGCTCGGCATATTGTTAATAACTTCGGGACCACATGTGGTCATATTGCATTGGATACATTTGGATCTGGCAAACATCTGGCAAATTTTAGAATTCTGATACTATGAAGCATTGGTACGAGAACTATGATGAGAATGCCAGCTCAGTCTTGACGATAATTGAGAAGGAATCCGCATAGGCTAAATGACAGACTTCATTTACCCCCTGACGATAATAATAAATAAATGTATTAATGAAGCTGGAATTCATCCTACTTCATAAGTAAATACCGTGCCGATTCAAATTTCGGACACTTAAACTCGAATTTCGGACACTTTTAAAAGTGGATTATCTCGGTCGAATATGATCCACATGTCTTGTAAATTTTAAATTTTTTTGACTAGTGCCCTCCACGATCATCTAACATTATTACTTTGTTTCTAACTGGATGTAATATTTAATTAAAAATGAAAGTGTCCGAAATTTGAATCGGAACGATATGTACCTACACCACCATCTGGGAAATGTTCGACTTTCGACTGAAATAAAATTAACAAGCGAAACTCATGTCACTGGAGATTTTGTCGTTTATTCAATGATTTAGATGTTCAAATCCGCAATGTCTCAACGGACGCGTCGGCTGCGGCTTCTACGTCTTGCTGAATGGGACCGGGAGCGGGTTCGGGATTGGGATCGGGACCGGGACCGAGAACGGCCTCCACGGCGACGACGTCCTCGGCGGGCACCACCGGTGGCATCTTCCGGAAATGAATGGTTTTCCGGTCGATCTTCAGGTTCCGAGATTTCCGGTGTCGGCAGTTCAGCGGTGGATTCCGTGGATTCGTCTTCCTTTTCGTGATCTGGTACCGATAGTGCCACCCGTTGGTCTGGTTCCAGCGCTGGAGTCGGCTGATCTGGGATAGGATCCATTTCTTGCTTGGTGCTTGATGATTAGTTAAAAATGCTTCCGTTCGGTCCAAAGGATTTTATGGGAATGAAAATTTCTTGACTTGTCACTTTATTCTACAATTCGGCGGCTTACTGCGATTAGGCAAAGTTGAAGAGGCGAAGGTCTCACGTGAATCCAATGTGATTAAATTCCTTGACTTAGCGAATTGAGTAAACTAAAGAGCCAGTCTCTTTAGAGTAAACAGCTTATCTATCTATATAGGGAAAATGGATGTAATATCGGCCCAAAATGCTCCTAATTTGGGCCCATACATAAATTCAGCAATCGACTAAATTTTCAATATCCATTAGTACCGTCCCAATGACGCGTTCATCTAAACAAAATTGATAAATAGCAGATTTTTAGCTATGGGCCCAATCTTAGATCCATAGGCCAACATTAGAGCCATTTCCTCTATATAAAAATGAATTTCTGTCTGTCTGTCTGACCCTTATAGACTCTGAAACTACTAAAACGATCGGCGTCCATAAATTTCTTCATAACTACCTATTAGGTACTATATTAAATTTTCGTTCATTCAGTTGGTTCAGCTAGTATTAAATATTTTTCAATTTTTGACCAACCTGAGTTTCATATATGCATATGTTTCTCCCACAGGATCGCCCTCAGGAGCCACCGATAGCAGCAGCAGCAGCAGAACCCCCAGCAGTCGCAGCACCAGCTCCGCCGGCACCGATTCCAGTGCCCGCTCCTGCCGCAGCACCTCGCCTGCCGCTGGAAGCTCCCGCTCCGGACAATGTGCCGATCGACCCGGCGGAACCACCCCCGCCGGCAGCTGCGGTCGATGCCGACGCCGACCCGGAAGTGGTAAATGAACCGGCAGAAGGCGCTGCCGACGAAGCCAACTGGAATCCGATGGAGTGGGAACGTGCCGCCGAAGAGCTGACCTGGGAGCGATTGCTTGGCCTGGACGGATCCATGGTCTTTCTGGAGCACGTCTTCTGGGTCGTTTCGCTCAACACCCTGTTCATCTTCATCTTTGCCTTCTGTCCGTACTCGATTGGAAACTTTCTGATTTCCTTCCTCGGGATTATCACGCCCGGCAAACCGCTGCTGCACTTTCACGGCCTGTTGACGACGCTGGTGGGCTATTGCGTGATCGGGATCACCCTTATCAAACTGCACGCCATAGCCCGGTTCCTGCGCTGGCGCCGTCAGCGCCGGATTCTCGGCCTGTGCTACATTGTGGTGAAGGTTTCGCTCCTGTCGGTGGTGGAAATCGGAGTGCTTCCATTGGTGTGCGGATGGTGGTTGGATATTTGCTCCCTACCGATGTTCGATGCCACCCTGAAGGATCGAAAGGCCAGCTTTAAGGCAGCCCCTGGAACATCACTCTTCATTCACTGGATGTTCGGAATGGTCTACGTGTACTACTTTGCTTCGTTCATCGTGCTGCTGCGGGAGGTGCTGCGGCCCGGAGTATTGTGGTTCCTGCGCAATCTGAACGATCCGGATTTCAGTCCCATTCAGGTGAGTTTGGTTTCAGAGCTTGGGAAACATCGCTTGTACATTTGCCATATATTTCACAGGAAATGATTCACCTATCGATCCTGCGTCACGCCCGGCGACTGATCGCCTCGGCGATCATCTTCGGCTCTGCCGTCCTGCTTATGCTGTGGGCACCTATCCAGATTCTGAAATCCGGTTGGCCCACGTTCCTACCGTACACCCTGTCCGGCGATTCCGAAGTCAACGAACTGAGCCTGCAGCTGCTGCTACTGCAGGTACCTTCTTTCAACCGATCTTATGCCCTTGAATATCTTATAATTTTCTCTAAAAAATAACCTATAGATCATCCTGCCGGGCTTCTTCGAGCAGTCACACACCCGCATCTGGCTGAAGGGCCTGGTACGCATCTGGTGCAACGTAGTGGCCCGTATCCTCGGCATCAAGAGTTACCTGCTCGGATCGGAACCCCGTCCGAACGAAGACGACGTGCCGCCCCGCCAGCAGCCGGATCTCGGAGCAGGCCTGGCCGCCGCTCACCAGGCGATCATGCAGCGTGACGTCCCCGTCGGATTCCAACCGTACGATCGTCCACCGTTGTTCGCCGTTCGACTGATCGGACTGTTGGTGCTGATGTGTATCAGTTTGGTGATTGGATCGCTAACGACGCTCACCATCCCGGTGTGGATCGGTCGTCACGGAATGGCCCTGTGGTCGATGGGATCGCAAATAACGCCTCCGCCCAATGCGGTACCGACTGGAGCGGAAACTCCTCCCAGACCACACGAGCTGTATACGGCAGCAATGGGAACCTATCTGTGTTGGGTCATCTCGCGAGGAATCGCCGTTGCGGTCAATCTGTTCCCACAGGGCCGTGCCGTCGTGATGGAACGGGTCAAGCATTGGATTTCCGTGGCGACTTCCTACGCACTGGCCGCCATCATTTTCGTACTTATGCTAGGAGTGATTCCGCTGATGTTCGGATTGCTGCTTGAGCTTGTCGTGGTCGTTCCGTTGCGTGTTCCGCTGGAACAAACACCAGTACTGTTCCTATGGCAAGATTGGGCCCTGGGAGTGCTGTACACCAAGATCGCATGCGCTCTCACACTTATGGGACCGGATTGGGCACTGAAACGGGCCATCGAACAAGCCTACCGAGACGGACTCCGGGATATGAACCTGCGGTTTATAATTCGTGAACTAGGAGCCCCAGTCATTACGTGCTTCGGCCTTGGTCTGGCCATTCCGTACGTGATCGCCCACTCGATTCTACCGATATTCTTTACCAACCAGGTGACGAGGATACTGATCGCTCGGCAGATTTATCCGTTCTTTTTGCTGATCGCGTTCATCATCGTGATCGTGATCCTGCAGATCCGTCAGTTCAAGAAACTGTACGTGGCGATCAAGAACGATAAATATCTGGTGGGACAGCGGCTGGTCAACTATGACCATCAACGGAAGAAAGCGGCACAACAAGCGGCGGCGGCAGCAGCGGCCATTGCCCAACAACAGCAACAACAACAACAACAACAACAGCAGCAGCAGCAGCAGGCACCACATGTTCAGCCGCCGCAACAGGAGCAACAACAAGACCAACCTCTAGATGAAGTTGACGGCCGGGAGTTGCCGGATCCAGGAGCTGCTGCTGTTGCCGCAGCCCAAGCCGTGCAGTAATCCGGGCTGACTGACAGGGTTGGAGATCGGAATCACAATCACCTATATAATGGAATCTACTGTGGATCGTAAATGTGTTACACGCGCATGGTCTCGTCGTTGGAGCAGCATAGCAGACATGAAGGTGAGTCGAGGGACGATTCTTTTTCAATAGATACGTTTGAATAAATTTCAGAAACTTTAGATTTTTTTTCCGTGAAAGTACTGTGGCGGACGGATAAGAACGGAATCGAAAGAACACGTTTGTGTTTAATAATAACTTCCTTTTTATTCACTGCAAATTACGCGGTTGTTCTTCCACTCTCTGTCGTCACACGAATGAACTTCTGCGCTCTTCCTCGCTTCTTCTCATGACGTTTTTACAGTTACGCTAAAAACCGGACACGATGGCCGGATCGAGTAACTATTGTGCGAACATCTTCTTCCGGATGATGTGCAATGCTTTCATCAGATGTAAAAGCTGGCTTCAGCCGATCGATAGAAATATTTTGCTTCTTTCCAGACATTAATATTTCAAATTATTTTTCACTACGATTTACTACCCTATATGGACCTTCATATAGCTGCTGCAGGGAACGCCTGGCTGCATCTACTCGAACAAGATACATGGCTGCACGTTTTCAAGCACGAACACTGATGGTTTGGGATGATGAATAGTAGGCGGTGGACGAAGTTTCGAAAATGATTCATGTAGCTTTTGTGCAAACTCCGTTTTATCGACGATCGTTGTCGGTGGTTCAAAAAACTCTCCCGGAAGTCGCAGTGGCTGACCATACACTAAATCCGCAGAGGAACATTTGAGGTCTTCACAGTAAGCACTCCTAAGGCCCAGGAGAACTAGAGGCAATTCTTCGCTCCAACGATTCGTGGTCTTACACATTGATGCAGCTTTCAATGTACGGTGAAATCGTTCCACCATTCCGTTCGCTTGAGGGTGGTATGCAGTTGTATGGATATGGTGAGATTCTAAAGGGTGTACCGTTTAAAATTGATCCAACTTCTGATCCGTTGGGTAACATTAATTGAAAATTTGCGTAGACATAGTTTAATGGCGCGCAAAAGTTTTCAAAATGGCAACGGAATAACAGTGCGTGCGCGAAAAAGCATCGTGCCATCGAAAAAAAAAGCTAGGAATCGCGAATTCCAAGATGTCTGGTATCATAAAACGATTCGAAGAACATCTAACTGTTGATCGGAAGCGAAGAGCCGGAAATTAAAGCCGTCAGGTCAACGAGAACGATCACAAACGCGTGGTTGGGGCCTTTAAACGGAAACCGAACGCCTCAGTTCGAGATGTGACTAAAAAGTTGCATGTGAGCAAGACTTTCGTGCAGAATACCAAAACTCGAGCTGGACTACGTATGTTTGAGGTTCAGAAGTCCCCAAACCGTGACGAGAAACAGAATACGGTCGCAAAAAGTCGTACCTGGAACACACTGCTGCGTAATGAATGACGAGACATATGTGAAGGCAGACTTCAACCAGATTCCAGGAAACCTGTAGGTGACTGCCAAGGATAAGTGTGATGTTCCCGAGAACCTCCGGACACAGAAGATGTCGAAGTTCTTAATTTGGCAAGCGATTTGTACTTGCGGAAAGCGGAGTACACCTTGTGACAATCGACTAGCTCAGGGCTACTGTTTCAGGGTCGGCTGCCACTTGCTAAGGGAGGACTCACAACTGATTCAATCGGTCAACAAATAAGACCAACAACATGGAGAACAATGACGTTCATCATAAGAATAAAGTGGCACACGAACACATAGAAATAGCTTATTCATTTTTGACGTAGGACTACGTCTTTAATTTCTATATGGGGGTACACTTTGTGAAAACCGAAAATGTAACATGTAACAAATTAAGAAAGATTTTGAACGTTAATAACTCAGCTGCCCCTGGACCAATTTCAATCATTTTATCACCAATCGATCAGAAATATGGCTACGCATCGATAAAAATGCTTCCGAATGATGATTTTCAACAAGAAACTATTGAAAAAGTGGTAAATGTCCAGCATTGTCCAAAAGCGTCGAATTAACTAACAAATCCACTAATTACGTACATGCATATGCTGCTTCCCCAGCACAGTCGTCAGAGAGTAGTAAGTAGACGAAACATGTCGATGTAGCATTACGACGAGGTGTGGTAGTTCAGTGGTTACTGTTTCAGCTTACTGATCAATCCTGGCCTGTCCCCTTCCGTGCAATTTTTCACTTTGCCTTATTCTATCCCCACTAGATTTAAAAAAAAAACAAATTCTGCTTTAACCGATCGCATCACTTACCACAGTTAATCCTAATCTAAAAATAACCTATGGATGATAGAAGAGCATAGCAGAAATAGTGCGAAATAGGAAACCATGGTCATCATAAAAAAGGAAATCGTAAAAGAGAATTGGCTTTCACCCTTCTGCTTCTAAGCCTCTTACAGTCATCGTCATAGCATCGCACCGATTTTAGTTCTAGGGCACATGCTGGTTGCAATTTTAGATCAGGATTCACTGTGATGCGATCAGTTGTAAAAGCAGCAGAAATTTCCTTCTCAACTCTCATGTGGAATCTTTTAGTGGCTCTGAAAAGGGCCGGTTTTGATAGATTTCGAAGGAGAAATTAAAAGCGTTCACCACAAATACGAAGACCCAGCTCCATGTCCTTTGGCATAATTGTGACACGCTTTGCGTCAATGACAAACAGACCGACCATATAGGTCGGTTTATTTCACTCGTCGAGGGTATACTTATACCTGCGTCGAGTAGCATATTTTTAATACAGGGAGGGAACAATACATACAGCAAAATACTGAAAAGGGAAGGAGTTTCGCTTCTTATGCTACGGGCACAAAACGAGACACCACCGTCGAAACGACTATCAGTTATTCTCTTTCGAAGTGCACAATTTCATCAGGGCACCGAAAACCAGTGGAAAGGCCGCTAAGAAGTCTGGAAAGGTGCAGAAAGTCATCGTCAAGGGAGAGAACAAGAAGAAGAGACAGCGCAGGAAGGAAAGCTATGCCATCTACATCTACAAGGTGTTGAAGCAGGTCCACCCGGACACCGGAGTCTCGTCGAAGGCCATGAGCATCATGAAAAGCTTCGTCAATGACATCTTCGGACGTATTGCTGCTGAGTCGTCCCGTCTGGCTCAATACAACAAACGCTCGACGATCACGTCCCGCGAAATCCAAACTACGGTCCGTCTGCTGCTGCCGGGTGAGTTGGCCAAGCACGCTGTCTCTGAAGGCAAGGTTGCAAAGACTCATTTCAGCTAAAACAATGTTTTTCTAAATTATGAAATAATTAGATGCCATGATCAAATTTTGAATTGGTAGGATACAAGAAGAGGTTGCAAAGAATGTGTTTGACATATTAAACCTGTTTATTTCACTTCATGAGAGTCACAATCAGCGATTTTTCACAAACTCACTCACTCACTCACTCACTCACTCAGCGATCAGCAAATCGCTGATTGTGACTCATAGAAAGCAAAATTTACAGGTTTTATGTTTCCAAGCCATACTTTGTAACCTCTTCTTGTAAGTTACAAGTAAAACATGCCATCATACCATCTTTTGGTTTTATTATTCCGAAAAACATTATTTTAGCTGAAATGAGTCTTTGCAACCTTGTCTGAAGGAACCAAGGCCGTCACCAAGTGCACCAACTCAAAGTAGATTCGTACCATCCAAACAATCAATCGGCCCTTTTCAGGGCCACAAATCGATTTCCAACGTGAAAGAGGTTTTGATGATATTGAACTTTTAAATGTTCGAAAGGAGCGTTAGCAAAGTTCGCAATAAGAAATCAGTTGGTTTGCCTTATGAAAATAATGTTGACAAAAAGAATAAGAGGTTGTATCCATTACACTACACGACCGTACGGTTTGACGTCTGTGATTTCTATATGGGGGTACACTTTGTGAAAACCAAAAATGGAACATAAAATAATTGTGACACGCTTGGCGTGGATGGCGAACAGACCGACCAGATAGGCCTCGCTGAATTCCTGTAGGGCCATTAACGGCCGAGCTCTGGAAGCGCAGATCGGTCTTGAAGTCCTGGGCGATTTCTGGTAACGACGGATCTCACGCAGAGCGACAGTTCCTGGCCGGTAGCGATGGGACTTCTTCACTCCTCCGGTGGCTATCTGTTTGAGAGGAGCCTTTCCTCCGGTGGACTTACGAGCGATCTGCTTGATGCGGCCATTATACGATGTGGATACATTGAACGCAATCTGTTGAATAAAAATTTTAATTACCCAGCACAATCATAGGCATTGGCTCCAAGCAATATTTCATCGGATTCCAGACAAATTTGTACGATAGTAAATAGAACAGAAAATGAAAATATAAAAATGAGGTAAGGAAAATAATTAAAATATGGTGGCTGAATAAAGATACACATTACCATTTATTATAGGGCTGTCCCTTATAGTTTTTTTGTATTTAAGAGTCTTTTACATATAATGGGGGGGGGGGCGTTGTGGTCGTTGCAGGAACTGTTGGGACCCATTGGGACCCATTGTCGATGTTTCATGCGTGAGAAAGGAGAGAGAAAATACTGTTCTACTTGCTAAACGTTGTTTTAGATCCATCCGATATAGGGCTCAAGCATTCGGAACACACGAACCACCATCATTCCGGGATCGTTGGAACCGTCTCCTAGGTTCCTGTCGGGATATTCAGTTGGACGCTGGAACTTTTCTATTGTTACAGTGGGGGGTGCATTTCCACGGCCTCTCATGGCAAGGTTATGTCCCACGTGCTCACAGTCGGAGTGGAAGCGCATCGACTGAAGTTCCAGCTCCTGCCTCCGTTACTTCGGCTACCACTTACCCAACGCGTTTTGCTCGACGATAAGAAAGGGGGATCGTCGGCGACCAGCACGAGCAATTCTGCTCTGGCAGGATTCCGCGTTCACTACACTAATAAAAATTCAATGATTTTTTGTATGTGTCCCACACATGAATTTTTGCAATGTGATAAACAAATGATATATATGTGTCGGACACATAGTTTTTATATGTACACATACAATTCATGTGTAACCACACGTACTCTGCATTTGACTCATAAATTTCATGTGTACTTCTGAGTGGATTCTGTTTATGTGTGGATACATGAAAATTATTTGGAATTTGACATGGAAATTCGCCAATAAAAATGTGTCGAATTTTATCAGTGTACGTAACCTGGATCGTCACCACAGTTACTAGGTGGCTCTCGATTTTTAGGGTCGATCACTTCCGTCGCAATTTTATGAACTTTTCTGACCTCGGGGCACTTCCGCGATTCTTGGCGGCGGTTAAAAATTATAACTTTGGTGTTCACGCACCGATAACTTGAACCTCTACTTCGTCCCGTAGTCAGACGGCTTCTCCTCTTTTATCAAGACACAATCTTTCGTTACCGTAAGCACCAATAATGGACAGGTGTATTTGGAAGAGTGTCTCCAAAAGCGGCTTCTCCCTCTCCTTCAGTCCGACGATCTTATGGCCGGATTTGGCATAATGCCACTACACGAAGGACGTGCTAGAGTGGTATAAGGCGAATGATTTCGATTTCGTGCCGAAAGATCTGAACCCCCCAAACAATGGGAACCCACACACTGAGGCAAATAGACCTAAGAATTTCATAAGGCTCGACTTATGAACAACATATATTAATTTCATAGCCGTGACTTATGAATGATGTTCGGGTAACATGAGGTAGCTCTTATACGCCTTTAACCATTTCATTTTCCCAAGCGTTGAAAGACGAGTGGTCAACACACGTTCTCTCTAACCTCAACGTTCAATTTCCGATTCCAGTCTGCTCCGATTTATTATTTTTTTTGTCAACATTATTGGCAAATCAATGAAATTCAAACCCATTTCTTATGGCTAAAATTCATAAGTGTTTCTTATGGAATTCTAACGTTCTTTTGCCTGTGAGCAGAACTGCGCCCAATAGAAAAATACTTGGCCATTATGAAGGAGCACCTTCTAAAACGACCTAAGGTTGTGAAGAATGTAGAAGAAATGAAGAAGGCATGGGTTAATCTGGGTTAATATGCAAAAAACTGACGATTCTAAGGTCGTGCAGAACCTTATGGCTGGGGTTAAGGCCAACGTTCGCACATTCGGATATAATGGTGAAATACATTAAATGAATGATGCCAAAACTAACTAATTGTTTCTTTTTATTCCCTGAAAATTTTGTGATAATCGGATAAAAACTCGAATTTTGAGAATGAATTTTGTGTGTGCGGATTTTAAACGGTATACCATTTAGGAAACTTTCGCCTATTGCTCTTTCGGTTTGACAAGAACCGTTTCCATTCTCGATAGAGACATTAATTTTAAATTATAAATGTACACTAAGCGCTAACGGCTAACTGAAAAGGATTTGAAATAAGTCAGAAATAAGTTGTTTGCAGTTCAATTTTAGGCTATGGGTAGTTGGATTTTTTTTTTAATATCCCTTCAGTTATAGCAACAGTTATAGCATAGAGGTAACTCTAAGACTAGAAGGTCCCGAAATAACGTGTTCAACTTTTTGGCTCAGCTCTGGTACTATCTTCGGTCCCAAGCTAATCGATGCACCCCTCGAAACATTGGAAAATCCACGAATCCCCCCAGTTTATCTGTCAAACTTTCATAGCGAATCAAAACAAACATTGTAGTACTAGGTAGAAATACTCAGAGGGAGAGATGGGCGGAGAAAACCAAGGAGAAAACAAAATACAATTCGGCAGCAGGGACTTGTATCTAAATTATCTTGCAACCCTTGCTAAAACTTAGCATTTCACATGACTTTTACTTTTGATTCGATTTACGTGTAAATTAATAATTGATTGTATCGCAATATTTTGCACATTTTTTGGTGCCATTAATTAACCAACTAAGATAAATTAATCAATAGAGCTAGAATATTGCTTTTGATTCCAAAAACTAGTTGAATTTGAGAAGCACACGAAACATAAAGGTGATTGAATTTCTGTTCGATCGCAATACTCTCAAATTCAATCTTGTAAGAATAAGAAATCCTCGGAAAAAAATCTAATGGGAATGTTCGATTGGCTCAGATTTTGTACATAAACAATGATTCTTTGACAGTGTGCAAAGAGTGCGTATCATTTTGTCATTTTTTTATGCATTTCAGTTTTTAGTAGAGTGAAAGAGATAGAACCAAAACATTCTAGTACATTTGGTGAAAATGCTAGTTCAATCTAGTAGTAGTGTTGCCATGTGGTACACTGAAAAATTGCAATAGCAGGTGCGTCACCAAAGTTTTCGAGCCGCTCCGTCTGTCACTTCGTTTGTGGTTTAACCGAAGTCGATTTGGATCTAACTCTTGGGGGAAGACATATCCTAATATAGTACAAAGTGGTATTATAATATCATTAATATCAGTACTAAAATATTGAATCTGAGCGGTACTATGATTTCGCACAAATTTAGTTTAGAGTGCATATGAAATGTCAAAATAAAGAAAACCTTTGCTGTGGTTTTTTTCACAACAAAACATAAAAATGGAGTGCTCCGTACAGGTGAGATTAGTAACAAGTGATTCAGATTTAAGTTTAAAGTAAGCTTCTGTATTGCTAGAATGTGTATGCATGCTTTTGGCGTAATATTCAAGCTGTTGTAGGACTTATCCCAACCAGCGTGCAGCGAGCCTTAGAGCTACAAGGCTATGCTGCCAGCTCGGGGCTCGGTGATATAACTGGCGAAGACATTACCGATATGCAGGAATCAATTCGAGAATGCGCTACTCTGTATGATAGTCTGCTGGACGCGGAACAGAAAAAAAGCTGTTTGGTATCTTCGTGAGGGATCCAGGAAAATTCTGTTTTTTAGTGGTGAGAGAAAGGCGATTTTGAAAGTGGCGGAGGCGGTGAAACGGTTTGGAATAGCCAGGTTGTTGTCGGCAGCCCCACCAAACGAATCAGCATCATTGCCGTCGACTGTAGTAGAGTCGGCAAGTGAAGAATTGGCGAACAGGCTTACAACGTATTACACGCAGCGGTATGTAATTTTTGATGACATCCCAAATATCATGCCTAAATATACGTTTGAATTGGTTATAGCGGAACAGACTCACCAGAGCTGCAAGAGTTTTTGGCCGGGCTAAGAAGAATGCCAACTCGAGTAACGCGAGAGAAAGGTGGCTCTTTAGTAGCGGCTTAGACGTGCGTTTTATGCTCTCCAGAGAAACGATTGAAAATTGTGAAAACGGGGGCAGGAACATGGCTGATAGGGAATTTCGTCAAACATTGCAGTCAGTACCACT